CCGCTCTCCCTCCCCGCCTCTAACGCGTAGCGCGCTGTCGGAGCAGCTGGAGCGGCGGTCCGGGAGCGCAGACAGACCACCCCGCCTGCCGGCTCTGTCCTTGGTGCTGAACACGCGCGTTCCGGACCTGCTGCCCGAATGGATCCGCTCTGACCCGGAGCCGGTAACAACACGCGAGGGGACCGCCCCAGGGCGCGCGTGTCGGGCTCGCTCGCGCTGCAGGTCCACCTGAAGAGGGGTCTCTCTCTCTCTCTCTCTTTTTCCCCCTCTCTTTAAAAATTTGGATTCTTGTTTTTTTTTAATTTTGGATTTTTTTTAGGGGGGGCATTTAGGCGATCTTCTCGTTTTTCTACACCACATATTTTGTTTTGGTTAATTTTTTTCAGCCCCCCAGTGAATGAACCTCAGATTGTTAAAAGGGGGGGTTCTCTTCACTTTCGATAAAGATTTTTTTTTAAAAAAACGGAGACTCCAGGCGATGGCACCTTCCGCGCTCAGTGCGAGAGAGGCGAGCGAAGCGCTCAAGACTTTGTAATTCGGAGCGAAGGCGCCGTCAGACGAGCCTCGCGTCTTCGCCTATGTAGGCGTTTTACAGCTCTCTCTGGTGTGTGTGTCTTTTTGTGTTGTTGTTGGGGGGCGGCGAGGGGAAACTTTGGGGGAACCGAAGCTGGTGTTTTATTATTTTTGAAGGGAAAAAAAACAAGGAAATATAAATTTACCTCCCCCCCCAAAAAAATCAACGAATCTTAGCAGTATGTGCGGTCATATTTCCTCCTAATATGATTCTTCCGCAACAATAAAAATCAAGGCTGCCGGGACAAACATCTTGTGGATATGGATACCGTGAAGGAGACGGTGCTCGCCGGGAAAGAGCGGGTGAAGACGGTGGCGGTGAAGTCGCTCGGACATCTGTACAGGTAAGACCCGACCGCCGGCCCGGCTGGTCTGCGGACTCGGGGGGGGCGTGGGCTGTAGGGCTGGCGTCCGGCTGGCTGGGGGTCCCGCGTGTTTGTCTCGGCGAAGTTGATGCAAAAAGATTTATTTTTTTGTTCTCTCTCTCTTCCTTTTCGAAGGCGATTTTGAATGCCTTACGGGTCGGGTATTCGGCGGTTTGATTCTGAGTCTGGTAGCGTCCTCGGAAAATCGAGCAAACCCCAACACGGGTCCGTCTGCCGTTTGACGCCGAGACTTGAAGCGCCTGGAGCGCAGATCTCATGGAAAAAAAAAACAACCTGACCGTGGAACCGGTTTTAAAAACCAAAATTTCGATTCCGTTTAGAGTCGGTAAAAAAAAGGCAATTGTGTGAAATAAAGCAGAATCTCGGGCGGCAAAAATGATCAACGGGAACAGGTTTTTCTGTAGCCCTGGGACGTGTTCGATCACACAGTTCTCCCAGCGCGGTCTTCCGTTTTCGAAGAAACAGCCGTCTGACGCTTAAATAATTCATGGGAGAAAAGTGATTCGACGCTGCGGAGACCAAGGCTTTATTTTACATTATTTATTCTTCATCTGAACGCAGATCGATTGCTGTTGATATTAAATGTCGCACTCTGTTGTTACAGCTTGTAGTAAATATTTTCCGCCCCGAACCGAAAGCCAAGCGAGAGACGAGTCGTTGTGCTCTATTGGCCTAAAATCCGTCAAATTGTTGGGTTTTTCTTTTTTTTAAATCGCAACGTTTTTACATGAAATTATGAATAATGTTTTTTTAACAATTCGTTTTTTTTATTGATGATTAATAATAAAAAAAAACCCCAACATTTCGTGTTTTCGAAACGGTGACGGCGATTTGCACAGACATTCCGTTACACCGCGGCGTGTTGCGAGTCAAACTTGGGTGCATCTCCCTTCTCCTCCTTTACTGAATCCTCGCCACTGGACAGCAAATGTCTCTCTTCAATAATAAATTAATTTAAACACAAAACCAGGGCTCTTTCTGAATGGGGTATTGTGTATCTACATTACTACAGCCGTTAAACACGTCTGGAGAACTAGCGGTGTTTCCATTCAGATATTAAGATTTTCGAATCCGTTGCCTTTTGCATATTGTTAATTTGAGGTGACTTCTATCTGCGGTTTGAAACGGAGATTCTCCTTCTGTTACGTGAGCTTTTTCTACTCCATTTTCAAATAAGGATGGGGTGCTTTCTGAATAACGAAACGTATTTTTAAAATTTGATTGTTAACGAATCGAGCTAATACGTATATTACACCCCCTCTTCTTATTATTTAAAATCGTTCGTTTCTGTTTCAAAAATGTAGAATCGAAACGAATGAAAATGAAAAGATGTTCGTCGTGCTTTTTTATGTTGTTGGCTAATTATGTTATATATATTATATATCATTATTACGGCGCATTCTGAGAAAATATCATTCTCTCCATAATTTCGATCACTTTCTTATGTATTAGCTCATCTGGAAATGTATTTTCTCGTTGATTTGGAATTGCAGCGAACCCAGTGACCCCTGCAATAAAACACAGTCACCAAGCAGATGTTGAGGTGTCTACAGCGTTTTTAGCATTCCCGGAATCCAGCTTCACTCGCCCTTAATTCATCCTGTGTTTTTGGACGGGAGAAGGGTAGCAGAGCCCGATATTTCCCCTTTGTCTTTCGATCTGTGTACCTGTGTTGAAAAATCAAGAGGCCCAGGTTTGCTGGAAACGAGATACTGCACTGCGGTGCATTTCCATCTCACTGGACAGGATATACTGAGTTATTATTATTCAGATTATTATTATTCAATAATACAGGTATGGACACTCATAGGAAGGGCTCAGATACTGGGATTTTTTCGTTCAAATGTAATTGTTTTCGTCGACGACGACGCGAAGGAAATGCACGAAATCTAAGCCCGACTTTTGAAATAGAACAAATCTCGAACCGGCAAGTCTGCGACAACCAGTCTGCACCGGCACCTGTCGAGCACAGACCTGCTCCTCCAGGAGCCTGGCAGCACGGCGCCCCCTCTTGGCGGGGCTCAATCAAGCCCCTCGACACCCTCGGCGTTCGATTGTAATTCCCCCGGTTTCCGTCTCCGGTTCTATCTACCGTTTCAAAATCATTTGAGCTTTTAATACATAATCTATTGCAATTGAATTCTCGTCTGATTTCAGCGTCCGTTCGCTGCGTTCACCCGCCTCCCGGACGCAGTCCCTCAGGGAGGATCCCAGTAATCAAATATTTCTAGTTTGAATGCACATTTTACTGTATTGCACACAAAAAAAACACACACACACACACACACCGAGGAACTTAACCCGTTCTTTTAGGGGGACCGAGCCACGCGTGGTCTGTTCTACGGTTGTGTTTAAAACCTGCTTTGTGCGTATCGCAGCGTGAACCCACTCCCACAGGTTGATCGTCGGTGACCCCAACCCCGCCGGCATCGGGTCCTGTCCACTCGTGGAATTTGTTTTTCATGTTGCTAAAGAAATATCGCGGCGCGGGGGCCGGCCCGTTAGCCCGCGGGTCGGGCCCGGTGAAGCCGGCGCCACCGGGCTCCGGCCCGCCGGCCGGCCGGGGCTGTGACGGTGTCCGCCTCTGGCGCGCAGGGTGCTGGAGAAGAGGCAGAAGACGGGCGAGGTGATCGAGCTGACGGAGGACGGCCGGCCCCTGGAGACCAGAGAGAAGAAGCCGCCCCTGTGCGACTGCACGTGCTTCGGGCTGCCCCGCCGCTACATCATCGCCATCATGAGCGGCCTGGGCTTCTGCATCTCCTTCGGGATCCGCTGCAACCTGGGCGTGGCCATCGTGGGCATGGTCAACAACAGCACGGTCCACCAGGGCGGCAAGATCATCATCACGGAGGTCCGTATTGCCCGGTGCTTCCCAACAGCCCCTACTACCCTGCACATGTACCCGAATGAGCCCGAATATACCCTAAAGTCCCCAGTGTACCCTAATGTACCCTAAAGTCCACAATGTACCCTAATGTACCCTAAAGTCCACAATGTACCCGCCAGAGCAGGGGAACACCCAACACCGGCCGGGTTTCTCTCCAGCAGAGAACTCTGCTCAGCTGAATTCGTACAAGATTGTTCTTCAACTTAAAAGTGTTCAGAGGTCCGGCGGGGGCCCTGACCCCTGACCCTAGACCACCGGGGCTCTGGACGGGCACGTGTCACGGACCTGACCAATTAACACATCGTTAATGTGGTGGTGGCCTTAACCTCCCTCGACCCCGCCGCCGTGGGAAGGGTTTCAGACAGAATCAGGACGCCTCGTGCAGCGCTGCGGCTCGCGCAGGTGCTGCGATGACCTTGAGACTGTCACGAGCTCTTTGGGAAGGGGGGGGAGGAGTCTCGAGAGTTGGAGGAGCGTGTAACACGTGCGATGTCAAATGACTTGCAGAGTAATTTTAATCTTTAAAAGACGTTTTCACATTATTCGGATCCGCATTACCTTTAAACGTGAACTAAAATAGAATTTTGTCATTTTAAACGTATTATTATTATTATTTTTACTATCACTATTATTGTTAAAACGAACTGCAGTTTTCCGCCTCTGTTCTCGCCGGGGAATTGTACTTTTCATCTTAACAAATAATTCTAGAAAAATATACCTAAGATGAAAATACGCCCCGACGCCGCACAGTTTTATAAACTAAACGAAAACAGAGAAACGAACGGAGCCAATAAACTATTTAGACAAAGATTACACGGCAATATTTTCTGCTGAAGCTCAATGGAAAAAAACGTCTATACCCGATCGTTATTATCATTTGTATAATAATCTATAATTGGTGATCATCAATATCAGAAGTAATAATAATAAACTTTATTTTATATAGCGTCTTTAAAGGTGGCTTCTCGAAGCGCTTTACAGGATGTTGTATTCCTTTAGTTCTTGATAATTAACTAGAATATTAGTATAATTTGTGCTTTAATATGGATGTTTCGTTCAATGTTTAATTCAATCGTCCACGAAATGAAGGAACTGTTCACATATTTGCGTTTTTGCTAACTGGCGTTCCTGTTTTCTTTCTCCCAGAAAGCGAAGTTCAACTGGGACCCGGAGACAGTGGGCATGATCCATGGCTCCTTCTTCTGGGGCTACATAGTGACTCAGATCCCGGGAGGGTATATATCGTCCAGACTGGCAGCTAACAGGTAACTCATTCTGCAAATACACCTCCGGCCGGAAGCGGCAGGTGAGCTCTCGCCCCGCCCTCCCGAGCGCGCGGGCGCAAGGTGATGCGGCGTCAGGGCGAGCCGTGACGTCATTGCGCGCGAGACGGGTTGTCCAGGCAGAAATTTCTCCAAACGGCAAAATCTGAGTCTTATACAGAGACTGCGGCTGATCGGCCGTGAAGTTATTAGTAGATTCATTTCGATTATATTTTTCGATATTGTATTAACATCTTTATATTTGTTTATATATAATATAATGAATAATTATAGTTAATATATATTGTAACGCTTACGGCCGACAGGCACTGTGTAAGAGCCGGCGTACCAGAGCGGGTGACGTCACCGCCCTTCCCTGTGATAGCAGGACCACTGGGCTGTAGAGAGATCTCTCTTTGGCTCACGGGGCTAGGTCGCTGCAGAGAGACGCGGAAGTCCCGGGTTCGAGCCCCGGACGGTGCAGGGGCCGACCTAATGCGGCAAGGGCGCCCGCATGAGCCCCCGTTGCGTTACAATATTGAATAGATTATAAATATACCGTATATATATACCGTATGTATACCGTATAAATACATATATTTTATAATATAATAAATAGTTGAGGTGGGGAGCTGCGTCAGCAGGCGTAGCCTGCAAAGGAACAAGTCAGGTTTATTCCATGCTGAAAAAAAGAAGAGAGAAAACACAACGTTTCGGCCGTGGAGCCTTTTTCAGATATAATAAATATAGTGGATAACTGTTTAGTATAGTTAATAATTATTCTCTATATTTGAGTGATTTGAATAGTCTTACCTTAAATAATCGTTTTTTTTTTTAATTTCTGTTCCATTTTGATTTGCGGACCTTTTTAAAATTACATAGTGTGCTTTTTCTTTGAAATACCCGTACGTGCATATTCGTGTCACAAAGTAACCCCGTGGAGATTGATAATTCCTCTTCCGCGCTTTTCGATTGAACAGTGAAAGGAAAGCGAGGGGGGGGGCAGGTTTTATTTTGGCCCGGGTCTCGCGGTGGGACCCCGGTCGCCCGGGTCTCGCGGTGATCCCCGGCGGCCCGTGACAGAGCCTCGCGCGGCTTTAATGAGCAAGAGCGTGCAGCTGGAGGCGCGAGCTTCAGCACCCGGAGGGGTTTTGCTCCACCTGTTAATGAGACCCCAGGAGGGGGCCGCCTCCGAGCCGGGTCCTAGAGCCTGTGCGATCTCCGGGCCGCAGCCGGGACACACCGGCTCTAGTTCATCTGAAGGGACAGAGAGAGAAAATCTTTTTACTGCGTTCGTAAACGTTGTCCCTGTAGTCGGATTAATTGTAACTATTTTCAGATTAGAGCGAACTGTGTTAAAAAATATTACAAATTAGCCGTTTCGTGTAACTATTATTATTATTATTATTATTATTATTATTATTACACACACACCCGAAAGAGGCTCCACAGCCGAAACGTTGTTTTCTTCTCTTTTCAGCAGGAATAAACCTTTTACTTGTTCCTTTGCAGCCTGCGCATGATGACGCAGCTCCCTACTTCAACTACTTATTATTATTATTATTATTATTGTAGCGCTCTGTGCCGCCGTTGACGGGCAGAGAGTTTAAGAATATTACAAACGTGCCGCTCGTGTGAGCGTTTTGATGCTGATCGCTGATCGCAGCCCGGCTGTCGGCGCCTCTGTGTCTAAACCGATTTGCGCGGCCGCCGCGCTCGGAACGCGGAGGCCCTGGCTGCCGGCGCCGACATTTGGTTTTTAATTCTGTTTAAAGAGCAACAAAACAGAGAGACTCCCTTCTGACACAAGGATTGATAGCACTGTATCGCGATGACTTCTATTTTCAGATTTTTCTGTAGCGCAGGTGCGCATGTGTCCTTGATTTTATATTCTTTTAGCAAGGACTTTTTCTGCAGAATGTAATCCTGGCAGCAGAAACTACTACTCTTAGAGCAGCTTTATGATTATTTGATTTAAAGTGATTCGTATAAGCCTCAAATGACATGTAATTTTGTCGTTTTAAACGCATTATTATTATAAGGCAATAATTGAATGGTATTATTTTAATAAATGAGAAAGAGCAGCATCGCGCTGTTAGAAGCCGAACCAAACGATGATCCCTGAAGTGTCGATCACGCTTGATCAGGCGCGTTGATCTTGTTGATCAGGCGCGTTGATCTTGTCGATCAAGCCCCGCGCGGGCGCCTCCGGAGCTCGGACTGAGGCGCGCTCCAGCGCGACCGGGGCCGCGCGCCTGTGTGCGGGGAGGGCGGGGGCGACCCCAACCTGAATGGAAGATCCAAGAGGTCGTGTCATTCGTGTCATACGTAATTCATTAGGGAAACCTCGTCAAAAAAACAGACTCCGTCGCCCACCCCGGTCTTCCGGGTTTGTCCGCTTATAATCGTTTTCACTTTTTATAACAGAATTGTTTTTTACTTTTAACGATTTTTAGACCTTTGCATGACTGGAATTATTGTATCGTTTCCATTATTATTATTATTTTATTATTACTACTACTACTACTAATAATAATAATGTTATATGGTACATAAAGTATGATTTCCCTATTTTAACGACAACGGAATTGGAAATGTACTGTAACTCAAATGAAAATAGTCGCGCTGTCCACGTATTTAGCATTTGAATAAAAACCCTGCCTGGTTCCGGGTATTTCTCTAATAACACGGCTGTTATTTATTTCTAGTCTTGAATTTAACGATGAGGTTCGCCTTCGGGAGAGAGGCGCTTTTAGATGCTCGCGGAGAGGGCACGTTTCGGTTCCGATCAGTTTTTCTCCGATTGCTCCCTGTCGATAACCGCGGCTTACTTCTCACGGTGCGAACATTTCGAAACGATTTCGAAACGCCTTCCGCATTTCGTTTTCGTTGGAACATTTATTAACTACGGGGTCGATTGTTTTCCCCATGTATAAACATTATTTCAAGTTCGCGCCGCGAAACCGAACATTTGTCTTCGTTTTTGCCTGGAGGGCATTTCAAAGGCGCCTATAGCTCAGGGTGTATTTTTTTTAGGAGACGACAAAGAAAGATTTTAAATATATGCATATATAAACTTTAACATAGTAAGATGTAACTTGGAGATGCCGGCACGCCATTCGATTTCGATCATTTGTCACAATTTGACACAATTAATTCTAAATAGATAAAGGGCAACGTTATTTATTATTAATTATGTGTTATTGTGCGCTTCCATCGAATTAACACCCTTTAACATCTAGGTGTCTTAATTTATTTTTGGAAAGCAACAAAAACAGATTTTCTTCTGTCACTCAGAACGTGCTTTTAAAGCAAAACACCTTCTTAGACGCGGCGTGTTCGCGATTCCGAGCTGAAAAGTGAAAAATTATCCAGTTATCCGAGTAACCCGCTACACAAACTGTGAATGAATGCGGTTCGCATCTGGCTGGCCAGTGGCATAGGTGCGTAGGCATGCGACATGGGGAATATTTATTTTTAATATAAGATTTATAATTATTTCATATTCGGCTGTATGAATATCTTTGTGGATGTATTCGTTGGAAAACATCTACACGAAGTACGGAATATTTATTGGAAGCACCGAAACGCCCTCGAAAAATTAAATCAGGCGTTAAAATCTGTATTGTGCGGAAGCGGCTTAATTTGCGCTGAGTACTTCTGAGTTTGTTTTGTATTTTTAACCCTAGCGAGACCCTAACGAAATAACGAAACGCGCGTTACTCCTGCCAAAGGGGAGCGCGTTTAAGATAAAAAAGGCCCCACTGGTGGGGAGCGGGGGTGTCAGGAGCTGTTGGGGTGTCAGGAGCTGTTGGGGTGTCACTGGCCACGGTGTCCCCCGCTTGCCGCGAGCTCACCAGCCTGTTCCCGTTCCAGGGTGTTCGGCGCCGCGATCCTCCTCACCTCCACCCTCAACATGCTCATCCCCTCCGCCGCGCGGGTGCACTACGGCTGCGTCATCTTCGTCAGGATACTGCAGGGGCTCGTGGAGGTGAGGCCGGGGCGGGGGGGGGAGGTTGGAGCCGTGACTGGCTCAGTTCATCTCGGGGTGCTCTGAACTGTGTTGACACTTACTTAGAGACGCTCAGTGGCAGGTCGTGTGATTTCACCCCGACTCGGTCTGAGAGTTTCCTCGGGGTTCCTGTGTGTCTTGGGTCTTGGTCCCTCTCTGATATGCCGCCCGTGTACAGTTTCAGACCGGTGGGTGCGGCCCCCTGTGTCTCTGGCTGGTGTCACAGCTCAAAGGTCACAATGCAGCTCAAGAAGAAGTGTTAGGCTGCGGGCGTTGGCCCAAATCTTTCATGTCTGTGAAGGAGAGCTGCTCCAAGCTACAGAACAAGCCTACTCCTGCCACAGGCGGATTCATCTCGCCTGAGGAAATTCTTTGGATTTTAGCCGAATTGGATTAGTGGTTATTGAAAGTGATGCAATGTGATGATGATGATGATGATGATGATGATGATGATGATGATGATGAAGATCTGGGACATCTCTGCTGGCAAAGCTGTGGCCTCCTAACGGATCTGCACTGCCACTGATGTGGAGGGTTTGAACCCGTCACTGTCATTGTACAGGACACAGTCTTCACAGTCACAGTCTGGGTGAAGTGCGTTGCGGAGCTGCTGACATTAACATGTGTAGAGCCTTGCTATTCATGCCGTAGGGAAGATCCCTCTGGGACGTGTCCCCTGACACAGCGGAAGTCATTCTCCCTCTCTCCCTGCCTGCTGCCCGTCGCTGTGTGTCAGGAGTGGCACACACACGAAGGGATCTTTCTGCCCCACCTGCTTTTTTTAGAGGTGATACCGGGAACCTCATTTCTTGAAGGAAAATCGTTACCCATCCTGTGGCCGTTCCCCCGTGTTCACCCTCCCATCGAGTCCATTTGCACTTGGCTCTCCCTGACCCCTGAACCTGATTCCTGAATCCTGGAGCCTAATCCCAGAACCTCGATCCCTGATTCATGATCCCTGAACCCTGATTCATGATACATGATTCATGCTTCACGATTCACAATCCCTGAACCCTGAACCCTGATCCATGATTCAAGACTCATGACTCATGACTCATGACTCATGACTCATGACTCATGACTCATGACTCATGACTCACGATTCACCATTCATGATCCCTGAACCCTGAGCCCTGAACTCTGATCCCTGATCTGTGGCAAAGGTCAACCTTCCCTTTGTCAGGATTTTGAAAAGCCAGTCTCTTGCCTCTCAGCTCATCTGCCACCAGGGGAGGGTAGAGGGCACCAAGGAACATGCAAACCTAACAGATGCCCATGATCTCAGAGTAGATTCATTCTTCCCCTTGGCAGGCAGGGAGTCCCGCAGGCATGGATGGATGGATGATGGACGCTGTCATAACTGCTTATACCTCCACTCCTGCGCTATTACAACTATATTGGAGGTCCCATTGCTATAGGTGCCTTCTGGGATTTGTCCTTGAGCTGCTGAGCTGGGGCTCATTATTGCAGGGGACGTCCCGGCAGCGTGCCATTGTTCCAGAAGGAAATACAGCTGTGCAGGCTTTCACCGCCATGTGGGAGACGTCAGGGAATGGGCTTGTTCTGTGGAAGTGTAAAACTAGGGCAACGCGACAAATTAATACAGGAGAGGTCCCACCCTGCCTGCCCAGGAACTTAGAAACCTCTGTGCAGACTAATTTCCCCTGATCTTCCCCGACTTCCTACTGGGGAGCCAGCGTTTCTAATCATGGATTAAATGTTGATCAATAACACAATGGAAAATGCACATCACTGCGGCTTTCTGCAAAACAAATATTTTTTGGTGACCTCCTAGACCAGAGGTATCTCATGACACATGTAAATGAAAGATTTATCAAGCATTACTAAGTGACATATTGGGATTATTCCCAACCTCTATTGTAGAGCAACTGGATATAAATAATACACCCCAATTCTCATCATCGTGGTGAGCCTAATCAATATCATATGTTTTTATATATGTCCTTAATAATATTTTAACAGATAGCTTACTGACAGTGAGAACAGTGTCATCCACTCTCCATCTGTACAGGATCTGAGAATCCTCCATCTGTCCAGGTGGAAATAAAGACAGAGGCACATACTGTACAGTAGATTTATTTCCTTTGCTCAGTTGTTCACAAGGTCTCACAATTTTTGGGGTTTGCAAACAAAGGACTGAGCACAGCACCCCCTACACCCCCCACCCCCAACACCACCCGATGTGACGTATTAATCAATACTGCCAGAGCAAGTTGTCTGCAGAGCAATCAATCACCGCTAGCAGGTTGGAACAGAAATCCGTTCTGTGTGGCAGAGAATGGTGTCACTGCTGACACTCGCTAAATCTTTAATGTGATAAAGCTGGCATCCATATTAATTACTACCTGCGTGATTTTTATTTTCACAGCGCAGCTCCATGGGGAATGCAGGTGATTCTGAGCAACAGAGATTGCTTCACCTGAAATCGAATCAAATCAAACAGACCTGCAACACCTCACTCCACTTATTCACAAAGTGTATGGTCACTTGCTTGCAAGTGGCTTGGGGCAGCCTTGTTGTGAAAGGCGCTTTATAAAAATACATTGAATTGAATTCTCCCCTGCCTGCCTGACTCAGCCCCCAACCCCTGCATTTCCCAAACCTTTTAAAGCACTGTTGAAAATATTCACTCATTTGTGCCGTTGTCTATCGTCGTGCATGCTTACGAAAAAGCTTGGTAAGTGTCTTTTCCTGTGATGTCTGTCAGAAACCCGATTTTCTTCCACATGTGCAGCCGATCCACGAGACACAAACAAATGCTCTTCTGGAAATCGAAAGCACAAAGTTGTGAAAAAATCTGACGATTCTTTTTCTGTTACTTGCTCTGAAGGGACAAAAATGAGGGAGAAAGAGTAACAGAATTAAGAGGATGAATTTAATTATTCTGTTTTAGTTTCTCACAGTGCTATCCATATTTTATAGATGTAGACTTGTGCTGGTGACATGAATATGTTACGTCACAGGCATTTGAGTTAATTACAGTAAATTAAA